TGGGCAAGGCGCGGGGGCTGAGGCAGAGCGGGCAGGCTGGCCCGCGGCGGCACAGGCGCCGCGGGATGGCTCAGCAGGCTGCCAGGAGCCTGGCGGTGCCCCAGCCCAGCAGCGCTGGCCGGGAGGAGAGCCTGCCCTTCGTGCTGGACCTGCAGAGCTTGCCAGGGCTGGCCAACGTGGACCTGAGCGCCCAGAACCCCAACATCCAGGTGGGGAGCTGGTCTGGGCGGGCCGCGGGGGGATACAAGCGAGCGCTGCATGTGCTCACCAGCCTCATTTGGTTCCCTAAGAGGAAAGATCTCGTGAGCAGGGTCCGTGTGGGCGCTGCCATCTGTCTTCTTGGTAACTATCAGATGCAAATAGCTGGCACAGACAAGCTCCTTGCCAGAGGAATTTGCTCATGGCCTTTTCCCCCCAGCCTCTCTCCGTAGAGCAGGAGCAAATGCTCCTACAGGGGTGAACTCTCAGTTTCTAAGGGTGGTGTTGGTCCCTGTGGGTGACCACCAGCCCCCCTGCGCCTCCCGCTCTGCCCCTGCTCAGTCCCTCTGGATGAGGCAAGACCTCTTGTGCTCACTGCGTGGTCCTGTAGCCCAAAGCATCTCTGGCCTCTTGGGCTGGGAACCAGTGCATGGGCTAGTAGGTCTGTCCCAGGGCTGTGTCTCGGCTCACAGCCCTGCCTCATATCTGGCCTCCAGGTGACCATCGAAGTGGTGGATGATCCTCAGGCCGAGATGGAGATGGACTTGTTGAAGGAGACAAGCAATGACTGGTCCCTGACATCCTCTGAGTGGTTGTCCCACAAGGACCTCTTCTGGCCCCTCTTCTGGGAATACACCGACCCCTCTGAGGAGGAGGAGGAGGAGGAGGAGGAGGAGGAAGAGGATGACAACCTGGATGTGGGGGACAGGGAGGAGGAAGAGGAAGAGGAGGAGGAAGATTACACAGCAGAGTATGAGGAGGAGGAGTCCATGCTTAGTGGAGTGGGAGGTGACTGGGACCAGCGGTGGCCTGGGCAGAAGAACTGGATCTTTAAGGAAAAATATAATTATGGTGAGTCCTCTTGGGCGTGCGCAGCTGCCCTGCAGATCGGCACTGCCCTCCCCTGCCCTGCCTGACCCTCAGCCCTGTCTTGCTGCAGGGGGGGCAGCCCTGCACCGGGGATCACAGCACGCTGGTGGTCAGCTCCTACTTAAAAAACAAGCAAGCATGCTGAGGAG